GGCGGCTTCAGCCTCGGATCCCCCGATCCGCCTCCACCGCCAGGTCTCGGGTCTCGCCGCGCCGCCCCACCCGGACACCCCCTCTTCCTCGTTGTCTTTTTTCCTTTCTCACTTAACGCTGCCGCCGCCTCCCCCCCTACGAATCTCCGTCGGCGGTTCACGTGGTAACCGAACAGACCGACAGAGGCAGCCAAAATGGCGGACGCGGAGGGCTTTCCCACCCGGGTCACACCTCCTAGCGCGCAGGCGCGGTGACCTCCTTTCCCCACCTCCTCTGTCCCGGGGCATGCCGGGAAACCTGGAGTCTGGCCCGCCTGCGGAGGCCGAAAGGGTCCGAGCAGGCCCCGCCCATCCTCTTAGTGCGTAGTGCCCTCCAAGCGCCCGGGCAGCCGCGGGGGACTAGGCAACTACCGTTCCGCCTACCTCCTCGTCAAAAACAGCCTAGCGTTCTGCTCCTTCCTGCTAGGTTGGCCTTGCATTCGGTGGGTGGCCTCTCCCGCCCTGTGTGATCATCGTTTGAGCCCGAAGTGCTAAAATGCAGGTGTAGCTGTTCGAGAAGCGCTGTAGATCATGGACGAAGTGCCTAATTAGGGAGAGGAGACGGAGGGGGAAGCGAACCAGGCGTGTCTGCAGTGGGGTTTGTGAACAGCTCTGGGGAAGAAAGGCCCTTAATCGAGTCTGAAAAGCGTGAACGAGGTTGACCGCTTAAATGGACCTGGCTGGCTGGGTTATCATTTGGTGCATACTGCTAAGATGAGCCTGGAAAGGTAGTGAGCCAGATCCGAAGTGACATCTCTGCACTGCCCAGGAGCTCCTGAAGGTTAAAGTGTGTGTCTCTATTTCACTGTGGAGGCCATACAATGCAGAGGTGACAGATCGACTGTATAAGTCGCCTAGGGGGAGTAGAGCCTGGGAGACGGACTCCCCTGGAGCTAGCTTATCACTAGTGTTTAATATTGTGACTCGCTGAACCCCTCACCAGAAATTCTCAAGTCTTAGAAGCCGAAAAATATCTGGCAAGAATACTAGACAGAACCGCTCCAAGGTCGGACTAGATACGGAATAGGACCCCTTCCAAAAATGTAAGTCATTTCGTTTACAGCCGACCGCAAACCTTGTTCAAAGTGGCATTCCATTGATGATCTTAAATCATATGACCTATTTTTTACTCCTGGTTTCTGAGATCTCTGAATTCGATCTGTAGCATGCTTTGCATCTTGGATCATTAAACAACATGATGGCTGCAGTGATTTGCTCATTTAAATTTGTTTACAAAGATATTTTACAGTTTTCACATTGGTTTTCTTAGCCCTCTCTGGAAGGCGTGAGTTTAGGAAGACGTTTCCTGGTATAAAAATCAGACTAAAACGTGGGTGTTCTAGCCATTATTGATTGCCCTCTCCCTCCACCTGGGTCATAAATAAGGTTTTAGCAGTCACATCCTGGAATTTCCTTAAATTCTGTAATCTCACTTCAAAAGTTTAAGAAAAAAAAATTTTTTTTTTGAGATACAGTCTCAACCTGCCATCCACGCTGGAATGCAGCAGGGCCATCATAGCTCACTGCAGCCTTGAACTCTTGGACTCAAGCCATCCTCCTGCCTCAGCGTCCCGAGTAGCTGGGACTACAGGTACATGCCACCATATCCAGCTAATTTTTTTTTAAGACATTAGTGTCTTGCTATGTTGCCCAGGCTGGTCTCGAACTCCAGACCTCAAGCAATCCTCCTGCCTTGGCTTCCCAAAGCACTAGGATTATAGGCATAAGTGACCAAACCCAGCCTAATTAAGAAAATTATATTTACAGGAAACTATCCATCAGTTTGAAATGTGGCCATTCTGGGTTTTTTGAGTCATAGTCTCACTCTGTTGCCCAGACTGAAGTGTAAAGGCATGCTCACAGCCACTGCAGCCTTGACCTGCTGGACTCAGGTGATCCTTTTGCCTCAGCCTTCCAAGTAGCTGGAGCTACAGGCGTGTGCTACCATGCCCGAAAAATTTTTTAATTTATTGTGAAGACGAGGTCTTTCCAATTTGCCCAGGCTGGTCTTGAACCCATGGGCTCAGACAATCCTCTCACCTTGGCCACTCAAAGTGCTGCTGTGGCCATCCTTTTACCTTAACTTTGTAATATATATAAAACTAAGAACAAGCTTAGAATTCATTTTTTAAAAAGTTGTTGTCTGCCCCAAGAAGTCTGTTAACTATCTGAGCCTATTAAAATATAGACAATTTGGCCAGGCTCAGAAGCTCAGCCTATAATCCCAGCACTTTGGGAGGCTGAGGCGAGTAGATTACTTGAGCCCACGGGTTCCAGACCAGCTTAAGCAATTGGTGAGACCTCGTCTCTACAATAAATAAAAAAATTAGCCGGGTGTGGTAGCCTGTGCCTATAGTTCCGGCTACTTGGAAGACTGAGGCAGAAGGATCACTGGAGCCCAGCAGGTTGACACTGGGGTGGCCATGAGCGTGTCACTGCATTCCAGCCTGGGCAACAAAGTGAGACTCCAACTCAAAAAAAAAAAAAAATTTGCCCAACTGCAGGTGATCATTTTAGCTTAGCTAAACTAACTTGGGTTTCTACATTTCTATCTATATATCAAAAAATCCCTACAGCGATATTATTATTTACTATATTTTTATTTAATATTATTATTTGCTAGCCAGGCTTAGTAGCTCAGCCTGTAATCCCAGCACTTTGGGAGTCCAAGGTAAGTAGATTGCCTGAGCCTGGCAGGTTCAAGACCAGCCTGGGCAACTTGGTAAGACCTTGTCTCTACAATAAATTAAAAAAAAAAAAATTGGCTGGGCAACGTGGCACATCTCTGTAGTTCCAAATACTTGAAAGGTTGAGACAGAAGGATCACCTGAGCCCAGCAAGTCAAGGCTACGATGGCCATGAGCATGCCACTGCACTCCAGCCTGGGAGACAGAGTGAGACTCCAACTAAAAAAAAATAAAAAATTATTATTTGCTAAATTGTCTAAATTTCTCCTGTAAATAATATTCCCATCAGGGGAAGAAAATTTCTGGTCTTTGAAACAGTTTTTACCAGAGCTGAATACCAGCTTAGATGAGCCAGCCATATAGTTTAGCAAATGTTATATTCTTTTTGGGTGATAGATAAATGGTCATGTTTAAGGTTCAGTGAATACTATTTTGATTCAACATTTATTTGATTAATTTTCTAGTTAAGACAAATCATTCTTATTGCCGGTGGCCCAGAGGAACCCATCATGGCGATGCCCCCTAAACGATGTGCGGTGGAGGCCACAGGGGAGAAAGTGCTGAGCTACGAGGCCTTCATCAGTGATGTGCTACAGCGGGACTTGCGAAAGGTACTGGACCATCGAGACCAGGTATATGAGCAGCTGGCCAAATACCTTCAACTGAAAAATGTCATTGAGCGACTCCAGGAAGCTAAGCACTCGGAGTTATATATGCAGGTGGATTTGGGCTGTAACTTCTTCGTTGACACAGTGGTCCCAGATACTTCACGCATCTACGTGGCCCTGGGATATGGTTTTTTCCTGGAGTTGACATTAGCAGAAGCCCTCAAGTTCATTGATCGTAAGAGTTCTCTCCTCACAGAGCTCAGCAACAGCCTCACCAAGGAATCCATGAATATCAAAGCCCATATCCACATATTGCTAGAGGGGCTTAGAGAACTACAAGGCCTGCAGAATGACCCAGAGAAGCCTCAACATTGACTTCTTCACCCCCACACCCTCCAACATTAAAAAGCCTGAATGCCTTTGGAAAAAAAAAATTTCTAGTTAAATATGTACCCAAGACGGGCTCAGTGGCTCAGCCTGTAATCCCAGCACTTTGGGAGGCTGAGGTGAGTGGATTGCCTGAGCCCACGGGTTCAAGACCTGCCTGGGCAACTTGGCGAAACCTCGTCTCTACAATAAATCAAAAACTAGCTGGGCGTGGTAGGGCGTGCCTGTAGTTCCAGCTACTTGGAAGGCTGAGGCAGAAGCATCGTGGGAGCCCAGCAGGTCGAGGCTGCCGTGGCCGGGAGCGGCCATTGCACTCCAGTCTGGGTGACAGAGTGAGTCTCCAACTCAAAAAAAAAAAAAAAAGAAAAGAAAAAAGAAAATGTACCTACAGGCCAAGCACAGTGGCTCATGCCTGTAATCCCAGTACTTTGGTAGGCGGAGGCGAGAGGATTTCCTGAACCCACAGGTTCGAGACCAGCCTGGGCAACTTGGCAAGCCCTCATCTCTACAATAAATAAATAACATAAATTAGCTGGGTGTGGTGGCGCACGCTGTAGTTCCAGCTACTTGGCACGCTGAAGAGGAAGGATCGCCCGAGCCCAGCGGGTCAAGGCCGTGGTAGCGGTGAGCATGCCACTGCACCCCAGCCTGAGGAAGAGTGAGACTCCAACTGAAAAAAAAAAAAAAAATGCACCTACAGATAACAGTCTGACCACACTCTCAGTAACTTGATAGTTTGAACTCAATAAAATATATACTCTGCTCACCACTATTTGACAAACAGAGGTCCTACTTTGAGGATTTGAGCTAGGCTGTAAATGACAGCTGTGCTTTCAGGCAATTAAGACAGCCAAGGCTAAATGCTGCGACGGCTGCTGATGACGATGACCGTTACACATTTGGATGTCACTGTGGTCAAAATGCCACCTCCAAAAAAATAATTCACCAAGCATAAATACATAATAAATTGCCTTGCAAAATGTAATTCTATAAAAGGGATACATATAGAGTGAAATTCTCCATCTTCATGTATGTAAGATATTCTCTATTGAGATTTTTACATTTTATTTATTAAATATTTAGATTTTATTTATTTATTTGAGTTAGAGACTCACTCTGTCTCCCAGGCTGGAGTGCAGTGGCACACTCATGGCCACCGCGGCCTTAACCTGCTGGGCTCAGGCAATCCTTCGGCCTCAGCCTTCCAAGTAGCCGGAACTACAGGCATGCACCACCACACCCAGCTAATTTTTTGATTTATTGTAGAGACAAGGTCTTGCCAAATTGTCCAGGCTGGTCTTGAACCCTTCGGCTCAGGTAATCCACTCGCCTCAGCTTCCCAAAGTGCTGGGATTATAGGCATGAGCCACTGCGCCTGGCCAGATTTTATTTTTTTAAAAAAACAACATAAATCCTTGTCTGTCACCATGATTTAACATGTGTTAACATTTTGCTATTGCTTCTGATTTTTTTTTCTTCTCAGACCCAGCAGGCAGAAAAACAGATTAAAAAAATAAATAAAAACGTGTAGCTACATCAGATGGCCCATGCCTCTCTGGGTCCTGAATTTGATCTGTAGATTCTCATGCAAGACGAAAAACATGTGTGATGGTTTTGCATTTTATGCTGGCTTCAACTCTTGCTGTTTTTTAACCCTCCTTGGAAGATTTGAGTTTTGTAAGATATTTCCCAGTGGAAAAATCTGGGGCTGGGCATGGTGGATCACAACTATAATCCCAGCACTTTGGGAGGTCCAGGTAAGAGGACTGCCTGCACCCATGAGTTCAAGACCAGCCTGGGCAATTTGGCGAGACCTCATCTCTACAATAAATCAAGAAAAATTAGCCAGGTGTGATGGCAGCTACTTGGAAGGCCATCACACCTGGCTAGCCCAGGTAGTTACAGCTACTTGGAAGGCCAAGGCAGAAGGATCACCTGAGCCCAGCAGGTCAAGGCTGTGGTGGCTGTGAGCATGCCACCACACTCTGGCCTGGGTAATAGTGAGACTCTGACTCAAAAAAAAAAATGAAAAAAAAACTGGGGACTAAAACATTGCTTTTCAAGCTGCTAATTCAGATCCCCTCTCTTTTCACTTGGGTCATAAATAAGGTTTTAGCGATCAAATTGTGAAGATCCTTAAATGTTATGAAGCAACTTTACCAATATATCCTAGGTGTTAGTTCCTGGCTAGACTGGCTCCTTCAGGTTTCTTTCCAAGATAGAGTGGCACGTACAGCTGGGTACTCCAAGTGTAGGGTTCCATCAGCTCCAACACGCTGAGAAATGTGCTTAGACTTCGTCACTTTCCTAAAATATATACCAGTGAAAGGATTCAGAAACCAAAGCTCTGAAAAAGAACAAAATAGTCTTTCCCAACTGCAGTACTGAAACTAGTAATCCTGAAAGTAGTAATCCGGGTCTGTATACTGTGACTAACCATGACATCTGTTTCAACTTGTTGGATACTAGCAAAAGCTTCATCAGGACAAGATTCCAGAGGACGGTGGAGAAAGGAAACGCCACCGACACGCTGCTGAGTGGGCAGACGCCAATAAGTTGAGAACCAACGACTGACTCAGCACATTTGCTGGGTGGTTTACTTACTTGAACATGAGTCTCAAACTGAGTCACAAACTAAAGTGATTTATAATTTAACAATCTATCTAGCTGACATTTTGCATGTTAAAGTGAACCAGAACATTAGTTTACTTTTTGGTCAATAATTGTTGATTTTAAAAAGATTTTGAAATAACATTGCTGTTGGGCACGGTGGCTCACGCCTGTAATCCCAGCTCTTTGAGAGGCAGAGGCGAGAGGACTGCCTGAGCTCAGGAGTTTGAGACCAGCCTGAGCAATATGGTGAGAACTCGTCTCTACAGTAAATCAAAAAATTAGCCGGGTGTGATGGCACATGACTGTAGTTCCAGCTACTTGGAATACTGAGATAGAACAATCACCTGAGTCTAACAGGTTGAGGATGTGGTGGCTGTGAGCATGCCACTGCACTCCAGCCTGGGCAACAGAGTGAGACTCTGACATTTATTTTGTTTTTAAAGTTAAACAACATAGCATTAGATAAAGGATTCCGTTTTTTGGGTTTTTTTGTGTGTGTGTGTTTTTGTGTTGTAGTCTCACTCTCTCACCCAGGCTGGAGTGCAGTGGTACGCTCACAGCCACTGCAGTCTCGACCTACCGGGCCCAGGTGATCCTTCTGCCTCAACCTTCCAAGTAGCTGGAACTACAGGTGTAGAAATGAGGTCCTGCCAGGTTGCCCAGGCTGATCTCAAACCCCTGCATTTAGGCAGTCCTATTTCTTCCATCTCCCAGTGTGCTAGGATTACAGGCGTGAGCCACTGCACCCTGACTGGATTAGTTTTTTAAAGGGTCAAAATTTATTATTTGGTACCTATGACATATTTTTACATGGTCTTTTTTTTTTTGAGTTAGAGTGTCATTTTGTTACCCAGGCTGGAGTGCAGTGGCACACTCACAGCCACTGCAGCCTTGACCTGCTGGGCTGAGGTGATCCTTCTGCCTCAGTCTTCCAAGTAAGTAGAACTACAGACATGCCCACCATGCCCTGCTAATATTTTTATTTATTGTAGAGATGAGGTCTTGTCAAGTTGCCCAAGCTAGTCTCCAAATCCTCTCACCTTGGCCTTCCAAAGTGCTGGGATTATAGGTGTGAGCCACCCCGCCCAGGCTTTTTTTTTTTTTAAACATGAGATCTCACTCTGGGCCAGGTTGGAGTGTGGTATCGTGACCATGACATTGCAGTCTCTGACTCTTGGGCTCAAGCAATCCTTTTGTTTCACCCTCCCAAAGTGCTAGGGCTACAGATGCACACCAACACATCAGCTGATTTTTTTTATTTCTTATAGAGACGGGGCTCACTTTGTTGCCCAGTTTGGTCTCAAACTTCTAGCCTGTAGAGATCCTCCTACTTCTGCCTCCTAAAGCACTGGGATTATAGGCATGAGACACTGCACCCACCTGCTTTACATGGTCTTTACGTATAAGATGAAACAGAATTAAATGTACAAAAATATAGCACAATTGTGTAAGATAAAACCTAATGGTAAGAACAATGTCTTTAACAGGCAAAAACAGCCGGGCTCGGTGGCTCAGCCTGTAATCCCGCGCCTTTGGGAGGCTGAGGTGAGTGGATTGCCTGAGCCTGTGGGTTCGAGACCCACCTGGGCAACTTGGCGAGACCTCATTTCTACAATAAATCAAAAAATCAGCCGGGCGTGGTAGCATATGCCTATAATTCCGGCTACTCAGAAGGCTGAGGTGGAAGGATCGCCAGAGCCCAGCAGGTCGAGGCTGCGATGGCCGGGAGCGGCCACTGCACTCCAGTCTGGGCAACAGAGTGAGACTCCAACTCAAAAAACAGGCAAAAACAAGCAAGTTGCCAGGTATGGTGGCTCATGTGTGTAATTCCAGCTCTTTGGGAGGCTGAGGCAAGAGGATTGCTTGAGCCCAGGAGCTAGAGACCAGCCCGGGAAAAATAAGATCTTATCTCAACTAAAAATTATGAAATTGGCCGAGCTCGATAGCTCAGCCTATAATCCCAGCATTTTGGGAAATCAAGGCGAGTGGATTGTCTGAGTCCGTGGGTTCGAGACCAGCCTGGGCAACTTAGGAAGACCTCATCTCTACAATAAATCAAAAATTAGCCAGGTGTGGTAGCATGCGCCTGTAGTTCCGGCAGCTTGTAAGACTGAGGCAGAAGGATCACCAGAGCCCAGCAGATCGATGCTGGGGTCGCTGTGAGTGTGCCACCGCACTGTGGCATGGGCAACAGAGTGAGACTCCGACTAAAAAAAAAAAAAAATTTTTTTTTAATTACCCAGGTGTGGTAGCATGTGTCCGTACTCCCAGCTACTTGGGAGGCTGAGGTGAAAGGATTTCCTGAGCCCAGGAGGTCGAGGCTAGCATGAGCCTGGGTAACAGTGAAACTCCAACTATAAACAAACAAAACAAGTAAGTTGCTTACTACTACCAGCCACTTTCAAAGCTTCTCAAGGATCCTATAGGTTTTATGTTACAGATGTTAAGCAGGTATAAAGAGGTTGACTAATCTGCCCAAAAATCATAAAGCTAAAAAGTAGTGAGCAGGAGTGGCACTCTGAACCCTGCTCTACAGTTTAGTTTACGGCCTCCAGTCTGTTAGATGGGCTAGCAAGAATCAGTAGATCTAAGGTCAGAAGACCTCAAACTGGAGCCCATCTCTTCCAGCTGTTTGACCTTGGGCCCTCAGGGAACTTTCACTTCCAAAATACGAAATTCTCTACTTCACAGAATTGTGGGGCTTCATTGTGATCTTGAGAGTGAATGGAGTTTTGGAACTTAAGAGAGCTTTTCAAATGTAATGTCTCACCTTGGATGAGTAGCTGTGTTTGAGCTTCACCTGGAAAGTGGGGCTAATAATCAAGGCATGTCATGTGCTCCTTAGGAAGATGAAATTAGACAATGAATGCAAACCACGTGATACATGAATGCACCGACCCTGGAACACAGAATTCAATCCCAATGCTACATATTATTCAGCTCGACCCTTCATTTAAAGTGTTCTGAATCCATCAAAATTGCTGTGAAGTCCATGTTTGTTCTCCTTTAAGGCTGCGTAATATTTCATTGTGTATATTTACCATTTTTTCAAACTCAGTGATCTATCACAGAAACAGAACAGAGTACCACATGTTCTCACTCATAATATTTACTATAATACCATAAAAAAGAGATGGGCAGTAGCGGAATACTGCGCGGGGGAGGGGGCGAGAGAGGGGAGGGGGGAGACACCATCAATAAGGGTACCTGATCTCAAACCAGGCAAAGTGGGGACCAAAGGGAGGCCCAAACTTTACCTGTACTATGACCACCTAAATACCTAATATTGAATTGTACCCTGCAACTTTAAAGTAAAATTAATAAAGTTTTCTGGCTCCTGTAGGAAACTTTTTTAAAAAATCGCTTGATGAGTACCCCTGGAGAGGGGGTGAAAATAAACTCTCAGAGGACAGAGATGTAGGTAAACAACTCCTTTTTAAAAAATCATTTGCTTCCTAATCCCACTTGCAGACCGAAGGCTGCAGCCACGGATGCTAGGGAACCTTGCCCTTCCCGGGACCGGCGCCCACACGGACAGAGCTTGGCGGCGGGGCCGGGGCACCCACACTTCCGCCCGGCAGGTGGCGCCGCTCTGGCGCGGACCCCGGGAGACCGAGCCCGACCGGTAAGATGGCGCCGCCCATGCCGCTGCGTCCTTTCTCCCGGCTGCTGGCCCCCGCCAGGCTCCCGAGCGCCGGTGAGTGCCGGTCCTGGTGCAGGCCGACTCGATCCCCCGCCCGCCCCTCCCGGGACAGGTCC